ACATGATGTTCTGAGGCTCATCAGCATATCCACATGAAGCAGTTCCAGAGGAAGTCTGGTTTTGACATGCCATCCCTGAAAACTTCACTAACATCTAACGCTACTCTCATCATCTACCAAAGTTTGGACTTTTCCATTCTCCCTCAGGAAAAACTGCGTCTTCTCTGAAACAAACTGCAACGGTTAAAATGTGGGTTATGAAAATAAAACAGCAACCTTTTATGTTTTAAACGGATAAATCAAACCTAAAAGAGTAACATTAACATTATTCACCAGTTATCTATTTGACTTTTCTGACATTAGGGTGTAGTGCTCCCAGTTAGCACCAATCGACACAGTGTGGTGGTTTAAGCATGTAGCGTTACTAGCACCAGGTCACCTGGGCTTGAATTCTGGCTCTGCCACATTAGCTATACCTAACTGGTTTTTGGCAAGTTACTTAAAACTCTCTGTACCTCAGTTTGCTCATGTGTAAATGAGGATCATGCTATCTCCCTCACAGGGCCATTGTGGACTAAATGAGAATTTCAAGCATTCAGCATAGTGCCTTATAAGTAGCTAGAGCTCTATGTTAACATTATCATTATATCCAGCACCTAAGCAGTGTCTGCACACAGTAGGTGTTAAATAAGGTGAAGAATTATTGTGCAAACAGATAGCCTTGCCTATTGTTGAGGTTTAAGATTCCATTCTAGGCCATGCACGGTGGCTCATGCCTACAATCCTAGCACTTTGGGAGGTAGAGGCTGGAGTATCACTTGAGGCTAGGAGTTTGAGACCAGTCTGGTCCACATAGTGACACCTGGTCTCTATTAAAACAATAAATAAATAAATAAATAAATATCCATTCCAAAAATTAAACGTTAACTTTGCAGTGGAAAATCATCATCACCCAAATCAGAAACACTCTGTACCCAAGTTATACCTTAGCAGGAATGCCAAAAATGAGCTCCCTAAATCCCTAATTCATAGGTTCTTTTAAAAGGAAATTAAAAATTATAATACAAAAGGACCAGGACATTCTGTTTTCACAACCCATTTAAAGCACAGTCTAGGTACATCTATCTAATTTTTAGACAAAAATAAAGGAAAAATAATTGCACATCACACTTGCATTTATTTTAATAGTAGTTCTAGCTTGATGTCCAGCTCCTGAACCAGACCTATTAATAGCTCTGTGAAGGCAGTGACCATCCCTGATTATCTTGTACCACTAGCCTAGGGGTAATACTACCCAGTACAGATTGGTACTCAATAACTACCTAAATAAATGTGCTTCTTAAAATAAAAAATCCCACCAGTCTGGCCAACATGGCAAAACCCCGTCTCTACTGAAAATACAAAAATATTAGCCCAGCGTGGTGACTAGCACCTGTAATCTCAGCTACTTGGGACGCTGAGGCAGGGGAATCGCTTGAACCTGGGAGGCAGACGTTGCAGTGAGCCGAGATCACACCACTGCACTCCAGCCTGGGCGACAGACTGAGACTCCGTCTCAAAAAAAAAAAAAAAATCCCATCATGATTATTTTTCGGGTATCTTTGAAATGTTCCTTTTTGTACAGAAGAGTTTTCAGACACACAGAGACAGAGCAGGGAGATCCTTAGAAGTCATCTAATAACACGCCCATTCTCCAGACGCCTCCAAAGATAACACTTGCAAGGAAGTTACAGTCTACATCCTTTATAGGCTTCTTGAGCTATCTTTGAAGACAGATGTAACAAAACTGAATCTTAATAATACTCACAAAGAGGAAGAAGGTGCCAAGCTTCACAGCACCTGTCCATGCAACCATGTACAGAGACCCATGTACGGGGACCAGGAAGATTCCCCAGTTTCCCCAAGTAAGAAGCAGCTCTCAATTTATTCCTTCATTCAACAGACATTTTTTTTTTTTCTTTTTTGAGACACAGTCTGTCTCCCGTCTGTTGCCCAATGGAGTGCAGTGGCACAACTCCGGCTCACTGCAACCTCCACTCTCTGGGTTCAAGCGATTCTCGTACCTCAGCTTCCCAAGTACCTGGGACTACAGGCATGTGCCACCAAGCCCAGTTAATTTTTGTATTTTTAGTAGAGACGGGGTTTCGCCATGTAGGCCTGGCTGGTCTCCAACATCTGATCTCAAGTGATTCGGCTGCCTTGGCCTCCCAAAGTGCCAGAACTATAGGCATGAGCCACCATGCCCAGCCTCAAGACATTTTTGAGGGCCTTCTGTGTACCAAACACTATTCTAGGTACTTGGAACACATCAGTGAACAAAAGAAAGATCACTACCCATGTGACACCTACATTTTAGGCAATAGTTAAGTGGCATCTAATAAAATAGAAGAATATCTGTACATTTTAATAGACTACATAGGGCATAATAGTCTAGGTACAAAACTTGATAGTACCTTGGAGATCATTAAGCCAATGGTTCTCAAACTTGGGTATGCTTCAGTATTACCCACAGGACTTGTTGAAACTCAGAATGTTGGGCCCCGTCCTCTAATATTAAAGCTACAGGGTACATTCCCTGTTTGGAAAACATCTTTCATACATCCAAATGCCAATGTTTTCCTTAAAGACTTTTTAATCATGAGGGTCAGGTTTAGTCTCAAAGGAACTCTATACTTTTTAAATCTATGAACTAGAAGTATATACAGCAAATCATAAATAACAGTGATTGGACTAGTAATAATTCTACAATATTTTTGTGCTAACTGTATTTTCTAGAATTTTTACAATAACCATGAATTCCTTTTGTATTAAGAAAAGGGAACAGAAATGTTAATTTATTTTAGAAATTAGTTACAATGTTTATTAAAAAGACTTTCAATTAGAAAACTATTTTAAAAATCATCAGTTAATATACTGCATAAATTAATACTAAAAGATTTTTTTCCCTAGTACATAATTCAGATAACTTATTTTAGCATTTCAGTTTAAACCTGTTTGGATTAAGGATTAAACCTGTGAAGGAAAAAAAAAAACTGATTTTAACAAAGAAGATAACAAAAACAAAGCTATGATCATTTCGATAGCTACATAAAAATCACATTTACTATTATTCCACCTGGTAATTATTCATGTCTATACTTTTACTTTTCAACAAATGAATGGAAGTGACTGATTCTAATTACTGCAAATAAATAAATTTTAAAATGATTCAATTATGTTTTTTGAAAAATTTAAAACGTCTACGTTTTGGGAAATTTAGGGCACATCCTTGATGTATGCATAATCACCCGGTCATATTCCTGGGAATACCAAGGTAAGACACCACCCCAAACCTGTCCCATATCCACCGTCTTCAAGGATATTCCAATCTAAGAAATATGCCGTTATTACTAAAGACCACGTTCCAGAGATGGGACTAGAGTTTAAAACATAATCAGCTAGAGGACATTGACTAAAACAAAATCAACTATGTCAGGAAATCAACTGTCTTTAAAATGATAGATTTACTCTCTTACCATTCGACAAAAATTCCACAACACCTCTTGAAGTGCAGACTGTTTAAGTTCAAGTCACTTTTAAGGAGGGCGGAAAGGAACTACCTGTATGTGTTACATTTTTTATAATTTATAGCCAATATTCTCAAAATTAGCCCCTAAAACCATAACTCCATATACTAATACTATCTATAATGAAGACTTACTAGGTGCCCACAATATACCAAATATGTATCCTCCTATTTAATCTCCTAATGGCCTTATATGGTAACTACCAGTATAATAACCATTTTACAGATGAAGAAACAAGCGCAAAGTGATTAATTTGTCCGAAGTCACACAGGTAAGAAGTTAAAGATCCTGAATACACAGATATCCAAGCTATAATACTTAAACTGAGACGCTTAAACCTTATCTTGATCATGGTTTTGCTGTTTGAATTATAAATTTTTCACATTTTAAGAAATCTGAACTAAGCTTTCTTGCCAGTAATATTTGAATATAAAAAAAGATGAAAATTGGGAAATAATACAGATATTTTTACGAAACTTTCTAACTCTAAAATCCCACGCAACCTGCAGTGTTACATTTTGAGCACAGAAGGCTGACAACTTTTCCACAAGCACCGCCACTTCAAGGATACGGTTAAAATTATCTACGGAAATACTGCATTAAATTACACCGGTATTCTATTAAAAGGAGGAGAAGGTAGGTTTTTATCTGGTTTTACCTGCTTGGGGGTTGTTTTGGGTTTTGTTTTTTGGGTTGTTGGATTTTCCAACCAGCGAGCTAGAGTGAACGAAATGATAGGAAGATGATAATCTAATCCTCCCCTACTCCCGCATACAAGAGTAAAGCCTGGCTGCAAAGGCCGGCGGCGCGAACGTGTCCAAGAGTTACGCTTGCCGGGTTGGGCCTTTACTTGGGGTGGGTGCGGACCCGACGCCACAGCTTCCGGCCCCGGCGAAAACTCCTCGAGGACGCACGGCCAGGGCACTGGGCGGCGGCAGGCCCCGCGCTAGTCCCGGCGGCGCCGGACGCCAGGGAGAGGGGATGGGGAGCCCCGCGGGCCCCTTACCGAGTTCGGTGCCCCGATTGTGCGCGGACATGGCGCGGGCCGCTCCGGAGCTGCCGGCTGGTAGGCGCCCGGCCCTTTCTCCTTCCCGCCCGCTCGAGCGCTCGCCCCGCCCCTGCCCGCTCCCGGGGCGGAGTCGCGGGCCCGGGCCACGAGGTCAGGACCCTAGGCGTATAGCTCCGCGAGGAAATCTCGCTGCTCTCCGCCCCCGTCTTCTCCACGAGGTAAGGGACTAGAGCGCTAGCTAGCTCCCGGAAATAATGCTACCAACACCCTTTTAAAAATACCGAAGTTGCCAACTGCACGTAATAAAAATATTCCTAGAAACTTTTAACTGTAAGATTACATAACAAGAAGGGAGAGGATCCAAGTGCAGAGCTCTGCAATTTCAGATCTGAAATGTCAGCAGAGATCCCATAACCCTGTTAGGGAAACCAAGGAGCAAGGGCCCCAGGGCACACTGACTTTTCTAATCTACACGTCATAAGAAGAACCAGTTATGTGACCTGAAGAAGGCAAGGGCTTAGGAGTCAGAAGACCTGGTTTCTTAGCCTAGCTCCGGCAATAATTAAATGTGTGACCCTGGGCAAATTAACTGCTTTTCTGAGCTTCATTTGTCTCATCTGTAAAAGGAGACCTTAGCAATTTCTTGGTTCTTTAAATTCTGATTCTATAAAGGTAAAATGCTTCAGCCTGACTTCTCTGTGACCGAGAGGTTAAAATCGTCGAGACACTCCACAACCTCAATATAGTTAACTTACCTGGACTCACATTTAGAGGCACCTCTGCTATGAAAACAGAGTACAGTTAGTTATGACTTGTCTACCATGAGCCACTTATTGTGCTAGGTGCTTTCATACATCATACATAGATGTATGATAGCATCTGAGTCTCTGAACAATCCTGCCAATAATGTATTTTATCTCCATTGCTATACCTTTAGACATCAAAGTTCTGAATAGAAAGGCATCCTGGTATAGTGGAAAAACAGTGGGCTCAAAATGAGTTGAACCCATAAATATACAAGCTCTTCCACTTAATAAATGTAACTTAGTGGTTCTAGAAATAATAGTCTATCTACTTACCTGGCAAAGTAGACCTGATCAAAATATGTTCACCTTGCAAAGCTGTTGAATGTATGCAAGGCACCTAGTACATAACATGGCATACAGTAGATGCTTAAAAAATGGAAGCTGTTAATGTTATTGTCAAGTTCACACAGTAATTACTGAGCTGTTTTAAATAGGAATGGTAATATTTGTATACTCCTCTACACTGAGCTTTCAGCCTTGTCCACACACAGCTACTGTTGAATGTTTCGGATGAAACATTCATTCATACATATGAATAGATCCTATTCATACATACTATAGCACTTTTCTTTTTTATATTAACCTTGAAAAAGAGAAAAGCAGACCCTGGAGCTGGCCTGAAACTCACAACTGGACATGGTTTTCCCTGGTTAAACATATACAATTTCACAGAACAGCATCAGCCAAGGCCATTGTGACCATAGTGAATCAACAAAAACATAATCATAATCATTTCTGATAATAGAAAACCACGAATATTGTTCAAATAGACCCTATCCTAGCTATTATGACTTCTTTACCAATCAGTTCTAGCTTCACTCCATTCCTACATTTTAGGTAAGAATTAAGATGCCCTATTATAGAATTATCACTAGTTCCTACCATCATCCAGTCCAGGTAAATGTGCCACCTTCCTTGAACTTTCCCCAAATCACCTATGACAGGCCCAAATCTTATGTCGTTTCTAACATCCTCTTACTGAGACACCTCACATTAGGTCCCCATGGCAAGCATTCTCCCTTGTTACAGTAAGTCAATAAACCCAACTTTGTCAACTTGTAGGTGTGTTACTGGTGGTCTCTGGCTGGAGATCATTCACATCTCTAGAAGATACAAAGGCAATACATGAAATTCTACTTTTAGAAGTAGACACAACTCCAAACCAGATTCCATACCATTCATTACATAAATGTTTGTTTGTTTTTAAGTTGTGATATCCTAACTTAGTTGAAAAATCAGAATTAGGGCAGCCTCTTAAAGCAAACGTTTTGGCAATATATCAGTCAAGAATTTCTCAAGGACTTTTTCTAAAATGGACCTGTTGAATGTATTAATCTCAAATTAATCTCTGCAGTTTAAAAGTATGTTAATTTGGCAACATTAGGAGAGACAGCAAGGATAGTATGCAAAAAATGAGTTTCTTTCACGGAGAAATGTTTCTACATTTCACTTTGTGAAGATTCCTTTTAAATTTATTGCCTTATGAAACTTCTAAAGTATCCCTAAGGCAAGTCCCCTCAAAGAAAGAGCTATAGACCACTACATGGGAATCACCCAAGAGCTTTTTCTAAAGCAGTTCTGGGCTTCCTCACAGCCCTACTCAATCAGAATCTGTAGGACCCAGGAATCTGCAATTTTAATGTTTCTTCAAACGATGTTTATGCAAACGAAATGTAAAGAACCACAAACGAGAAGCAGAGGAAAATAAACTATGCATGTCAATCTGGAGCCATAGCCCAAACTGACTGAGTAAAATTGCTTTTAAAGTATTACATGTTGTATTTTTTAAGCCATGTAAATTTTGCATGCTATTCCTATTCATTGATGTTTTTCAACGTAAATTTTAAATTGCCAAATAAATTACCTAATTATCCTCCTACCGTCACTCCTCCTTTAATTAAATTAAAGCTCTAGGAATATGTAATATTTATCTTGAAGCTTCTAAAAACCTACCAGTCCTGGGAGATAGGAGTAAAACAAATTTTAAGTTCCAAAGGGCATAGATCATTTGTGCCTGGTTCATCATATGTAGGATCTAGTACAGTAGTTGGCAAATATTAGACTATAAATATTTGTTAGATGAATGAGTGTATATTGCTGTCTTTGCTACTTTTCTTATACTGCCTATTATTTTATCAAGTCAAATTTCATTTGATATAGTCTCTACTCCTACGATTTCTAAGAGCAATTATTCACAAGTTCATTAGGTAAATAACCACTTAGACTACAAACTGTCAGCCAGCATTTCTAGGTCAGATGGAGAAAAGTGTAGGAGCAGGGAGGACTATGAAAAAGTGTGAATATTAGAGTCAAAATATTTTAGAACTGGAGGGAGACTAATAACATCCAATTCCTAGTTAATAGTAAAATAGAAAAAAAAAGAATTACACTGAGTCGTTTATGAAGCTAAATTTATTCAATTTAAAGAACACTCCTTCATTCTGAAACTACGTTGTTCACTACCAATTTGAATTTTAAAATGTCGTTTTATAAAGATTGTGGTGATAGATAATGATTTTTTCTTTTATAATAGCCTCAATTGGCTAGAAGCTGACCATTCCATCTCCTCTTCCGTTTTAAAGTCTATTGGCCACAGAATCCTAAAGCTTGGGAATCACTGATAGAATATATAATACTAATATTAAGTGCTTCATATGAATTAAGCCCTTTCCATAAATTTATTTGGTATTTCATATTTATGAGATTTTTCCTGAAAAAAAATCTGTGTATGAGAACACTTTTCTCCCTGTACAGATAAACTGAGGCTAAGAGAGATTCACCTGTAAGTGCTAGAGGATTGCTTAAAACCTGGCAACAGATAATCATATAACAATATATAACCTTAGACTACACACTACTATTCCCTACTATCTCTTGGAAGCTAAACTGCTTAGACAAACCATTAAACCTCTCTGAAATTCAGGTTTTCCATATATGCAATGGAGACAATTACTGATCTCACTGGATTACCGGGAGAAATTAGAAAGTGACACATGTTAACATTAAAACCTAACATAAGGCACTTATGTCATTTCTATACTCATCTTAAACTAAAATCAGTTACCTTCCATTTGACCATGTTCTATTCTCTCATTAAAGTGATTCAATCTATAAAGTATTATTATTGTTCATTAGCTGTCATTTAGATACATACCTTTTTTCGAAAGGTAAATTTGTTAAGATGTCTCCAAGAACTCTACTGATCTAGTCACCTCAATCTAAGTAACACTATGGCACACTTGCAATTAAGCATTTCTCTATTAAATAGATAACCAAAGAAAAGCTAAGCCCCCTCTTATCTGAGAATGTTCTTGCTTTAACAATGTTTTTATGGGTAACCCCCCAGTGTAACAGACAGACATGCACAGTAACATATAGTAATCTAATAGGAACCACTTTTTAAGTTGTTAATCCCCTAGGTGTAAAGCATAAGCAAGGTAGCTAGTTGAGAAATATTTTCCATTGGTCTGCTTTTTCAATGCCTCATTTTGTTGTTGCTACCTTCTGAAAAATTGCATCCATTTTTCCCCAACGTTGGTCTCAAAGAAAAGGCAGCTAAATACTTCCATGGAATTTGAGCAACTACTAAAAAATGTAATCTGTAATTTATTATAAATTATGGTGCATCTTTACTATGCTATTTTGTAGACATTAAAAAGAATGTGTTGAACTTTACTGACATGAAAAATATTCTGGAGAATTGAATGACCACACTCAATCTTGGTTTCCTAGAAGAAACCTCTGGATGACACTAAAATAGAGAAGTAATTGATTCATAAAAAGGTAAATTACTAATATTAGGAGGGAACTTGGAATAGCATGACCTACTAGAAATTAGGACCTAGAGAGGAGACTCCAGAGGATGAATGGGATGAGAAGGCAAGTGAAAGGTGGATTCTTCCTGAGTAACTTGACTCTCACACTGGCTGAAGCTGTACACGGGTTCACTGGAGAGGCAAGAGCTTTGAATAGGTTCCTGCCACATCTCACTCTTCAGTGGAGGATGGCCTGCTGCATATGAGATAACTGGAAAAGTCTTCCTGGTCTGACATGGATTACTGGGAGAGATTAAAAAGATTTGGTGAGGGACTTGTTTCAACAACTATTGAGCACTCACAACATACCAGTCACCTTTCCAGGGAAAGGGAGACTATCAATGAAGCAGAAAAACATGCAACATAATTTCAAATAGTGTTGACAAGTATGAATAAAATAGGACTAAGTAAGAAGTGACAAGAGATGGAATACAGACCGGCCTGAGGACTGAATGCAAAGAAAGGATCAGTCAAGCAAACATTAGGTAAGAGTGAACCAAGTAGCAGAAATATCAAGTGAAAGACACTTGAGACAGAAATGAGGCCACTGTGGCTAGAGCAGGGTAAGCAAGGGAAGTATGAAAAAGTCACAAAAGGTCTCAAGAGCCAACTCATCGTAAGAATTTGATATAATGGGAAGCCATTACAGATCTTAACAAGGAAATCACCTAGTCTCTTCAAATCCTAAAGCAATTACCTTTCCTACTGTGTGGAGTATGGATGGGACAAGAGCCAGACGAGTGAGTAGGGGCAAGAGGGAGCAGTTACGAAGGAACTCAGAAAGGTAGCCTAAGGTGGTAACAATGGAGAGGAGACAAAGCACAGCTTCAGAAGTGCCCATAGAACTTGCATATAGACATGAGGATGAGAGAGAACAGAGTCAAGGATTTCCATGTCTTTTCGTTTGAACAAGTAAGTATAAGTTAGTACCAGTGGAATGGGGAAAGGTTGAGGGAGAAACAGGTTTGATTAAAAAAATCAAGACTTACGATAGATAAGTCTCAGTCTCATGAAAGGTTAAGATGGAGCACTCAACTATGCTGTCAAACTCTGATGCTCAAAGAGGCAACCCAGATACACAATTTAGAACGTATCAGAAGATCCTGAATGTCCTAACAGCGGATGATATTTTTCTTTAGAGAACAGAGCTAGAAAGTACAGCCCAGATCTGAAGTCAAGAAAAAAAAGGAGGAACTGGCAAATATAGGAGTCAGTAAGGTATAAAAAGACCCGGTCGGGCGCGGTGGCTCACAGCTGTAATCCCAGCACTTTGGGAGGCTGAGACGGGTGGATCACGAGGTCAGGAGATCAAGATCATCCTGGCCAATATGGCAAAACCCGTCTCTACTAAAAATACAAACATTAGCTAGGCGTGGTGGCATTGCCTGTAGTCCCAGCTACTTGAGGCTGAGGTGGGAGAATCGCTTGAACCTGGGAGGCAGAGGTTGCAGTAAGCTGAGATTACACCATTGCACTCCAGCCTGGGTGACAGAGCGAGCCTCCATCTCAAAAAAAAAAAAAAAAAAAAAAGACCCAGGAGCGTGGTTTCATAGAAGCTAAAAAAAAAAAAGTCAAAAACAAGCAAGTGGATGATTATTGAATGCTTCCGAAGGTTTAGAAAGAGAACAGAAAAGTGACCACTGCTCTAGAAACATGTACTTAAAAGTTTTGTTAAATTCTACTGTAGGATTCCACCATTACAAAGTGTGGTAAGCAGACTAATGACTAATAGCCCCCACAAAGATGTTCACTTCCCAATCCCCAGAACCTGTGAATATGTCATTCTATATGGCAAAAGGGACTTTGCAGACGTAATTAAATTGAAGATCTTGAACTGGGAAGATTATCCTGAATTATTCAGGCGGGCCTGATATAATTACAAACCTCCTTCTAAGTAAAAGAAGAGGAAGCAGGAGATGCAGAGTCACATTCAGAGTAAGAGATTAAAAAAAAGACACTGCTGGACGTAAAGAGGAAGGAACCATGAGCCAGGGAATGCAGCTGACTTCTAGAAGCTAGAAAAGGCAAGGGAACAGATTGTCCTGTAGAGCCTCTAGAAGGCTTGCAGCTCTGCTGACACCTTAATTTAAGCCCAGCAAGACCTATTGTGGACTTCTGACCTCCCAAACTGTAAGATAATAAATTTTTGTTGCCTTAAGGTACATATTTGTGGTCACTTGTTATAGCAGCAGCAGGAAACCAATACACAAAGGACTGTACCTGTACAGGGTCATTAGACTTTTGTGAAACCTAAGTAGAAATTCCCTTGGTTCATAAATAACAAGCAACTTCATGATTCCAATCTGATGACACAAAACTTTATTGAGGGTAAATCAGACTCTGATTAGTCTGAGCAACTGCTGGTACAATGACAACACTGCTGCAATCCAGAGGTTCAGGCATGTAATAAGCTGACACAAAAATACTACCACTCTATGAAAGCCTATGTGGATCACCAGTTGGCTCCCCTGTATTTCTCTTGGCCATCACAGGCTGTCACAGCCTACAGTGCTTTCTTCTGGTTATCACAAATCCTCAAAAATTAATCTTATTCTTTGGTTGACTCATATTGCTTTTAAGAAAAGTTATCAAGGGTCACTCACAAGACTGATCAGGAGAAAAGGGAAGTTGGCAAAGATGTTATTTATTCATCTCAAGTATTTCCAACTTACTCATTTAATATGCCCTCTGTATTTTAAAAAATAAATTACAAGTCTAAACTCAGTTGATCCAATTTATTAGAAGGTTTTAAAAGGGCTTTCTGAATGCCACCCAAATTTAATATAAAGAATGAGGTAAAATTCCATACTTCTTAAACCACTGCAGGTCTATAGTAATCCCATTTTTATAAAATCCATTCTATCTATCTGTATATACATACATAGATGCCCTAACATGTATTAACGGTCATTCGATTTTAATAGTTTTTTGACGAGTGGTAGGATTTTAAGTTATCTTTCAGCTTACTGCTAAAATTTCAGTTGATTTTTCTTCCTATAACTAGCATGTATTCTTTAAATAATCATTTAAAAAGGCATGTCAAGCACTTCTATCCAATCTGGGAATAGAGGAGGTAAATGAAACACTAGTAAAGGACGTAAGAATTTCAAAAATTCAGTACAAGTAACTGAATCTCAATATTATAAAGTAATGTTTACTACAGATTAATCAGCTTATCTTTTGCTATGATTATGATACAGAAAAACTTTCTGGCTATTTCCACTTATAAAACTCAAATTAGTAGTTTTTCCCCCAAAAAAACAAACATTGTTTTGTTTTAGAGGCATTTTATTTAGACAACTAAAAACAATTAGATGTTCAGAAGCAGTATACAATGAAAGAGAAATCAAACCAGTTACTTTATCATGTACTCCCTCTTCTTTACAACTGAAGCAAAAAAAAAAAAAAAAAGGGCATTCTGCTTTAAGGAAAAAGATCAGAAAAATAAGCCAATATATTTTTCTTCTCCATAATAACATAAACGGCTACAAGAACCCTAATTGTAATAATAGAAATTGGATATTGGCTTGTATATATTCATTAAAAAGATAACAGGCCACTGTACTATAAGAGGATAACTCCACCTCCCTTTATCTGACACTCCTGAGTTTTCACTTACAGGTAACACCAAGTTAGTTAGTTGTTCCAGCACTGGAGATAATTCATTTTCCTCATTATTTACTGCTGTTTCTGCCTTAAGCAGAGAGTAACTCTGGAAGGCTGATGCTTTTCTCTGCTTGCTCGTTTTAGTCAGTTGTATACTAACTGTGGCATATGATTGACGCTCAGGCCTTAACATCAGGAGCTGAAGGATAGATGCAATCTGAATTCTCTGAAGCAATTTCTTCTATAAGTTAAAAAAAAAAAAAAACAGTCGCATTAGTCAACTTAATAAAAGAAAGAAGCAAATGTACATTTCCGTGTAATGAAGGAATAAAAAAGTGTGTGTAAAGCATACTCTGGTAAGGGGAAGAAGAGAACAACTGCACATGCCACTAACAACTAGACTCATGTCATTGAAAAGGCAAAGAAAGAGTTCATGTGTTTTATCCACTAGACTCTCTTACACCATAACTCAACCTCGAAGGGCCCCTTTCTGGCCTAAATTTTCAGACTCCAACTATCTAATAAACCCTGAATTAAAGTCATGTCTTTGAAGGATCTGGTCCTCCCTTTTAGTGATGCAAATCCTAACATTTAGTGCTATTTAAAGCAAAACATTAACCATCAACATTAAGTTTCAGCAAGAAAGTGCTTAGCAATAAAAAATTTAAGGAAAACTCTAATTGGGTAAACACCTTCCCAATCTCCCCCAAAATCATCACACCCAGTTCCTCATGGCAGCAATCTGAATTCCTCCTTATGATACCCCCACTCATCAATCTCACAATTCTAACAAGTCTAAAAGACTCTCAACTGCATCGACCTTTTTCTGTTCTCATTGCAATACCCTTATTAAAAAATACATGATAGGCTGGGCACAGTGGCTCATGCCTGTAATCCCAGCACTTTGGGAGGCCAAGGTGGGCAGATCATGAGGTCAGGAGTTCAAGACCAACATGGTGAAACTCCATCTCCACTAAAAATACAAAAATTAGCCAGGCGTGGTAGTGCACCTGTAATTCCAACTACTCAGAAGGCTTAAGCAGGAGAATCGCTTGAAACCAGAGGCGGAGGCTGCAGTGAGCTGAGATCGTGCCACTGCACTCCAGCCTGGGTGACAGAGCGAAACTCCATCTCAAAACAAAACAAAACCTACAGGATCACTCATCTAGACTACAATGCCCCCTAACTGGTCTATGTTCACTCTTGTTCCCAGGCCAATTCTCTGTACGTGCCATAGCCAAGGCAACTTTTTTTTTTTTTTTTTTTTGAGACAGTCTCTCTCTGTTACCCAGGCTGGAGTGCAGTGGCACAATCTCCGCTCGCTGCAACTTCCACCTCCTGGGTTCAAGCTATTCTCCTGTTTCAGCCTCCTAAATAGCTGGAATTATAGGTATCCGCCACCATGACCGGCTAGTTTTTGTATTTTTAGGAAAGACAGGGTTTTACCATGTTGGCCAGGCTGGTCTCGACCTCCCAAGGCAATCTTTTAAATTCCTCTTCTTAAAATTCAAAGGTTTCTCATTGCCCTTAGTATAAAATTCTCCAAGTCCTAATACAGCAAATGAGGCCCTCAAATGATCTAGCTTCTCCAGCTTCACTCTGCCTTTGCTGTTTAACCTGGAGGCAGGGAGAAGTTCTTTTAGTTCCTCATATGCTATGCTCCTTTTTGGTTCTGAACTTTTAGTTAACATAGTTTTCCTGCTATGAACTTTTCCATCCTGTCCCTACCAATAGCCCCTCTCATGACCTCATCTAAATCACTTCTGCTCATCCTTAGGTCCCAGTTTAAATGTCACTTCTCAAGGAAGCATTTTTAAATCCCCCTTACAATAATTTGTTTGTTTTGGCATGTCTCCTAAGTTAGACTCCAAGCTCTGAAAGAGTAACCACATTGGTCGTGTCTATACTACATTTCTGCACCTATTACTACTATGCAGTAGGTATTTAAATATTTACCTTATAAATATATATACATGCACAAATAAAGTTTCCATTATTTAAATATGTTCATATTTAATACATTTCTTCTGCCAATGAGTAAAACTTCTGTTACAGTTCAATTTTAAATCCCCTAGGACTCTTACAAAAGTCCTTAGCATTTACCTATCTCCTCTTCTGTTGTCTCTGGAAAACCAATCTTTGGCTTTGCCAGCTCACCACTATCTTCTTCTGTAAAAAGAAAAGCAATGATGATTATATGAATTACACTATTACAAGTAATTTCTAGTGTTCAAAAAGCAAGAAGAGCAAGATAAGACTATTCCAAGAAATCGCTACAAAATATAATAAAAACAACTCATTTTTAAATAATTGTGATTCTAAAATAGTATCTCTTTCTTCGAAATTACTTTAAGGTTCACACTGCCACTACTTAGGGATTAGTAACTAGATATTTTTTATTAAGAACATGTCTACCTTTATTGGTGTGGATCAGTGAGTAATACTATTCAGAGATTAGATACATTTACTTGTCTTCATATTGCCTTCCAGCAAATTTTGAATTAGATATATTCCAGCCACAAAATGTGCTAGTATAAAAATTTAGGAACAGACTAGATTGTACAACAAAATTTATTTTATTTTTTTTGAGACCAAGTCTCATTCTGTCACCCAGGCTGGAGTGCAGTGGCGAGATCTCAGGTCAATGCAAGCCTCCTGGGTTCATGCGATTCTCGTGCCTCAGCCTCCTGAGTAGCTGGGATTACAGGCACACGCCACTACACCCAGCTAATTTTTGTATTTTTAGTAGAGATGGGGTTTCACCATGTTGGCCAGGCTGGTCTTGAACTCCTGACCTCGTGATCCGCCCACCTCAGCCTCCAAAAGTGCTGGGATTACAGGCGTGAGCCACCACACCCAGCCATACAAAAAAAAAAATTTAAACAAACAAAGGAACATGACCCTTTCTCTGGCAAATTCATAATCCTGGGCTTCTCTCTGCTTAAACCATAACATATAATTTAAAACTTATAGAAGACAAAAACCCTGAAATAAAATTAATGATGAAAAATGACACAAAATCATGCATTTTAAAAATGTTATTACTCTGAATAAAAATTCTTACCAGGAAGCACGCATTTCCAAAGGCCATACGTCTTTCCTACCACAGTTTGCCATAGTCTCAATGTTCCATCTTCTGAACCACTGGCATAGAGTTCTCCATCAGGACTAAATCTTACACAGTGAATAGGACCGAAGTGTCCCTTGTAGGATTCTGAAAAAGAAGAGGGCTATTAGATAATTTTAACTATTAGGTTAAATATTGATATGCTGAAAAAAAAATACTGTGTTACTGGGGAGATGAAAAATTCTTAAGGCAAACATTAAAAACTGTACTTAATTTCTCATCACAAAAGTGGTATATCATTGACCTTTTCTCTGTAAGATTACTCCTTTCCAAATCTAGCACACATTCTAGTTTTGGATTGTCCCGCTAAAAAAGCAAATGAGGCTTCATGTTTCATTAAGGATGGAGAAAAAGAGGTAAATGAAAACCCCATTAATTCTATAGAAAGTAGATTTAAAGTCTTATCAGTTCAACCTCCAATTTCCACATCTTAAAACTCACTGCGGCCGGGTGCGGTGGCTCACACCTGTAATCCCAGCACTTTGGGAGGCCGAGGTGGGCAGATCACGAGGTCAAGAGATCAAGACCATCCTGGCTAACACGGTGAAACCCCATCTCTACCGAAAATACAAAAAATTAGCCGGGCATGGTGGCGGGCGCCTGTAGTCCCAGCTACTCAGGAGGCTGAGGCAGGAGAATGGCGTGAACCCGGGAGGCGGAGCTTCCAGTGAGCCGAGATCACGCCACTGCACTCCAGCCTGGGGGACAGCAAGACTCCATCTCAAAAACAAAACAAAACAAAACAAAACAAACACCTCACTGCCTATTTCTCAGGGAACCAATTTTTATTATGACTACAGAGAGCCACCAGGTGGAGCTCTTTTACACACTTTGCCTCTTAATTTCCTACAGTCCACTAATTATTCTGTCACACAGAAAGGCTGAGATACAGGATCAACACTGATCCATAAATATTTTAATCTATGGAACCTAACAAGAAAATGTACAGATTAGGCACATTGTTATATTCAAGTAGTGCCTTTATGTATGAACCTTTCTCATCTACTTTCTAATGCCTCATCACCTTACTAGTTCTCAAAAGTCCTTTACTAGACCAATGTTCCTATTCTGTCTCCCATCTGTGTCCAATCAGAGAATAGAAAAGTTGTAAGAGTACAAAGAACACAAGGTTTTGGAAAGAGAAAGGCTGGGCAGGTCTGGTATTCACTGTGACTTCAGATCTTAGGCAAATAATTCAGTTCTCTCATCTTGAAAAAGAATAAAATATGAAACCAAAAACATTCTAAAACTTTGAAAACTGGCACTAAAGTAACAGAAAAGAGTATCTTATTTATGTTACTTCTATTCAAGCAATAAAAGTTGAACCATAAGCAATTAAAATAGATTCTGCATGGTCCATCACCAAGGTTCCATTTGTGCAACCCAGACGTATCAATGTTCCCCAAGAAACAAAACTGTAAAATTGTCTTTTGTTCCTTGGGTGTAATCTAGCAAGCTTTGTTCTTTGATTGGTAAAGCAGGGCAGCTAGAAACAGACAAGAATAAGAAGAGACAGCTTATAGATAAAAATATGTATTTATAAAAACTAAATATATTTTTGAACTAAAAGCAAAAACTATTTGGGAAGGCTAAAAGTAGATACTGAGAACCACATGTACCTATGTGAAATACCTGGTCCATCAGATAAATATACATTAACTTCAAATTAATCCACATGCCTTCCCCTTCCCCTTACTAAGGACTGTTATCATGAAAATGAAAACAAAACTCAAACTCCAAAATAGAATAAATAAAAAGTCAATAAAAATAACTCCCCAATTCAGATTCCTAAAGGTGTCCCTGTAATATGCTATACTGGTTTTCCCCCACACACTGTTCTTTATGGAGTCTCAGGGATTCCTAAGTTGGCAACAAGGAAGATGGGCCAAGTAGATGGGGTTACACACCCACAGCATACTTCAGAAAGAATGGATCTCCTTTCATCTGTTTAACATATGACTTTGACATAAGATTCCCCCCTTCCTCCCAGCCAATAAAGCCTAAAACTCACTGTACGGTAATACATTAGGATAATGATGTACTTCAGTTAAAAGGTCAAATTTTTGCATACTTTGTTTACAGATCTAAAAAAAAATCTAACCCAAATGATTAAAACGCCTTTACTTTTTCACTTGTAAGCACCAAGCTTAAGTTAGCTGAAAAATTTGCTTTCAACATGTTATATAAATGAGGTGTTAATTACTGGGACTTAACATATGATAAAGGTAACCACATCACTGTAAGGGGACAACTCACCTAATTCTTCTCCACTATTATAATCATACTTATAAAGTTTAAAATCTTCACCACCTGCAACAAGAAATTCTTTCTCAGGATGAAGAGATGCAGAATTTATGGTTGCAGGAGCTTCAAAGGATTTAATTGGGTCCAAACTGAAAAAAAATTTAAGTAGTATTTACAAATCTTGAATATTGTATAAATAACGAGTTACATTTGAACTGTTCTTAAACTCTGAAACCCAAGGAACAATTAAATACTCATTTACTCAAACATAAACACTGATGTAAAAAAGCTCTGTTAGCCAAAAAAAAAAAAAAAATTCAAACGGGTACTATGCCCAAGTGGAGTTCGTCTCAGCAATACAAAGACATTTTGATAGAGGGATACCCAGTTTATGCAGTGGATGTCTTCCCGGAAATGCGTGTGTTCACTAATTAAAACAGTATGAATAATACATTGGGATTTTTGCTCTTAAATAAATTTCACCTGTATTGTTTCAATTTTCTACAAGCACATATTATCTTTGTAAATAGAAAAAGTTTTCACAGTAGGTAATTAATATAAAGGATTATTTATATATTATTATTAATTGGTGAGTTAAGCTCCTCAGTAAGATAAACTTTCAATGTCATAAAATATAAACTGCTAAAAACAGTCATTATTATAAGGCAGTAAAAGACTAACAAAATTTGGGGCTGTAGTTATATAATAAAAATCAATGCATAATAACAGCTTCATCTGAAAATTAATTACAGTTTGGACATTAGCTTTTTCAGTTTAACCCTAAAAATCATGAAAGGCCTCCAATACAAAACATGATATCCCAGCTCCTAAATACTTCCCATCATCATATACTTTAAAGCATGATAATTAAAGTTAGTCATGACTTATGCAGGATCACTACATAGCAACTTGCTAGCTCTAATGCTAGAACATTCAATGGGTCAGAAAATTTCTGCCACCAACATGGGATTTGCCTAACTGCAGGAGTGAGTGAAGAGCATTAATATACTAATTGATAGCTCCAGGAAATAGTATTCTATTATCAGTTTATTGTATGTGTATTAACTCCTTGACAGTCTTAATTGCTCTCCTCCAATTTTACTGCCTTTTCTTTCTCCCAGTTTAGTGAAGTTTGACTCTGCAAGTAGCCCTTTAGACACAAGGTTAAGACACTGGTCAAATATCAATCAAAGTATAATGTGGTATAATCTTTATGGAAATCAATTAAGTGTCATGTACAACTAAGAATTTTAAACTCATTTCTACCCTTTGAACTGACAATTCTACTTACAGGATCCTATCTACTGTAAAGAAACACTCAGAGATGTACCAGATCATTCACCATGATGCTAAAATAGGGAAACTAACCCATAATTTAGTACAACCTATAATGCAATATAGTGTATCAAGTAAAAACGTTTTCAAATGGCTAATATTTTTAAATAAATCAAAATGATACTCATTATGGTCCTAATAATTAAAGAAAAAAACACAAATACTGTACACCCACATATATAACATAGAGAAATGGACTAGCAAAAAATATAACTACCATTAACACTCTTGCACCTATGGTTATAATATTATAGGTACATTTTTTTCAATTATGTTATATATTCCAGTCTTTCTACAACAGTATTTACTACATTTACAGTCGCAAAATTCACATCTGTTTAAAAAAATCATTTAGGAATAGAAATAAGATTATTCCTTCTCTAAAATTTTAAGGTGAAAATAAATAGTAGAATCAAGATCACACTGTTTTTTTGTTTTTTTGTTTGAGAAAGACTCTGCTCTGTTACCCAGGCTAGAATGCAGTGGTGCGACCTCAGCTCACTACAACCTCCACCTCCTGTGCTTAAGCAATTCTCCTGCCTCAGCCTCCCAAGTAGCTGGGACTACAGAAAAGCTAATTTTTCTTCTTTTTGTATTTTTATTTTAGAGACGGGGTTTCACCACGTTGGCCAGGCTGGTCTCGAACCCCTGACCTCAAGTGATCCGCCCACCTCAGCCTCCCAAGGTGCTGGGATAACAGACGTGAGCCACCACGCCCAGCCCGCAATGGTTTTATATAGTAAAAAAACATAAATTACATTACCAATCCAGCAGTTTTTGCTTTCTCTTTTTTTTTTTTCTCTTTTTCAGGGGATGTTTTGCTCTGTCATCCAGACTGGAGTGCAGTGTCAGGATCACAGCACAATGCAGCCTCAACCTCCCAGGCTCCAGCAACTCTCTCACCTCAGCTTCCCAAGCAGCTGGACTATAGGAATGTGCCACCACGACCAGCTAATTTTATTTTTTGTAGAGATGGGGGTCTCACTGTGTTGTCCAGGCTGGTCTCAAGCCATCCTCCCACCTCAGCCTCCTAAAGTGCTGCGATTTATAGGCATTAGCAACCATTCCTGGCCTCTTTACTTTTTTAAAAAAAGTAAATACCTTTCCATTTTTAAGTAGCCAAATTGTCTTTTGTTACCTAAAACAGAAAATGAAAGTATTTCTTGGACATACCTTACTGCACTATGAAAAGCAATAGATCGTCCATAAGTTATAACCAAAATCTCTCCCTCAGGAATATATTCCATACTACTAACAGACATATTAAAATTTAGAGATTTTACTTCTGTCATGGTAGCATGATCCCAAAGTCTGCAAAATAAAGATAAAAATATGATGATGTTTACTCATGTCAGAAAAGAGCTTATAAATTCTAATTACATCTGCAGATTAGCCAAAGAAAGAACAATCACAATTACAGAAAAACAACATTCATTCCAAGTCACAAATTACAGATGATAAAAAGAAATTCTGGGTTTCCATATACAATGTCAAATTATGCATGACAACAGCTTGTAAGTAAAATCAACTTTAATACCTACATAAACTTCCCAATTTGGCAAAACTGCATAAGACAAGTTCTAATCTAGTCAATTTCAGCACTGCTATAAATAGTGGTTCTTACACTCTGTTTTTGTGAATCTAGCAATAGCTACACATCTTTCCAAAGAAATATACATCAGGTGTCAGCACACAAGATTTTTGTATAGAATTTCAGAGGCTTCATGGACCCTCCCTTTAACCTGCCCACAGACCCAGGTTAAGAACACCTGCTTATAAGATATCAGGATTTAATTTTCTTCTGAATTTTGCTGTCTGTATACACAAGGTGAGCATCCCTTATAGAAAATACTTGCGACCAGAAAGAAGTTGGATTTCAAACTTTTTCGGATTTTGGAATATTTGCATCAGACACTTACCGATTGAGAATCCCTAACCTGAAAATAGAAAATTCAAAATGCTCTAATGAGCATTTCCTTTAAGCATCAAGTCAGCACTCAAAGTCTCAGATTTCAGAGCGTTTCAAATTTCAGATTTTCAGGTTAGGGATACTTGACCTGTAATAGTAAATAGCTCCAGATAAATGTGACCTGGGTGCAACTTAAATTTTAATGTCCAGAACATTTTTTGCACATAATATTAAATGTATTTAAAATACAAGCTCTAAGGTAAAATATTTTTCAAATTTTAAATTTTTGTTTTTGAGACAGTCTAGCTCTGTCACCCAGGCTAGAGTGCAATGGCGCAATTTCGACTCTCATCAACCTTTGTCTCCCAGATTCAAGTGATTCTCCTGCCTCAGCCTCCCGAGTAGCTGGGATTACAGGTGTGTGCCAGCGCACCTGGCTAAGTTTTGTAATTTTCATGGAGACAATGTTTTGCCATGTTGGCCAGGCTGGTCTAGTACTCCTGACCTCAAATGATCCATCCACCTCACCTCCCAAAGTGCTGGGATTACAGGTGTGAGCCACCATGCCCGGCCTCAAATTGTAAATTATTAAAGAAAAAGTACTTACCGAACAGTTTTGTCATCAGCAGAAAGAATCTGTTTATCCTCACTGCACCATAGAGCTTTTTTTATACCAGAAGTGTGACCACTAATTTCCTTAGGTTCTTGAGATAAAACAATTAAAAGTACATTTGTTAATACATGATTTTTTTAACTGAACAATATTGAAACGATTATATATTTTAAAAAACACACATTTTAAATTAGACTACAACTTTTCAAAGTCCAGCCCAATTCAAACCTGATGTTTATATAGAATACAGTTAGTTTTTCCATACTGGAACATAAATTTACCTGCATGACAGGGACCCAAGGAACTACCATGCTTGCTATATGTAGCTGAGTGAATGCACCACTCACTCCCTCTAGGCTAAATTTCTGCACAACTGATAATATTCAAAAGCATTATTGTATCGCCATGAAATAAAATAATAATTAATGTGGCATAATTTAATAAGAACATGGACCCAGGAACAAGACAGTTGAAACTGATTCTAGTACTATGGCTAACTCTGGGACCTTCATCCAAGCAGCTATTGATAGTAACTAATAGGAAATAAGAGTTAGAAGGAAAAAGGGAAACAGAAAGTGGGACAGCAATTCCCAAGAATGTTTCTACACTGTGAGGAAAACATTAAAAAAAAAAAAAAAAAAGGAAGGGAGCTTCAATCTGTAGGAGATTATCCTTTCAAAGGACTTCAAAAAACCCCCACTGGTTTCTCTAGGGGCAAAAGCAGACACTGGAGGCAATGCCATTCAACACTATTTTCACCTTTGGGCATGTTACTTAAGTTTTTAACTTTATTTCCTTATCTGTAAAATGAGATAACAATGGTTACAAATGAGAATAGTGCTTAACAGATAACCTGATACACAGTAAAACCTCAGTAAGTTGCTATCATTTCTGCTGCCAGCACAGCGAGAGAAAGAGCAACTTTCATAAAACAGCTTTGGGAAAGGCAGAGTATGAAAAATGTCCACCCAATCCCTGAACTACCTTGCTTTGACCCAATCCCTGAACTACCTTGCTTTGCTGAATGAGTTGATAGATTAAGTGAGGTCAGAGTCCTTTCCTATGCTTTGGCATAAATTTATCAAAAACGAAAGCAGAAAAAAACTCCTACATGCAATGGAGAATAAAAAAATCTGTAAATGGGCTTTGTTTCCTCACCTTAAAAATGTTTTCATAACAAACTACCCTAACACTAAAACGTAAAATACTTTAAAAAGCTCTCAGAAATGTAAGGTATCTCAAGAGAACAACTGCTTAATTTCCAATGCGGTTCTGACTCTTATTACTCTTTTCAATGTTATAGATTTATGACTACATAAATGCCCACATAATAAAATTTCAAAGATACCAAACATATAATAAAACAAAATTATGTTTGTCATGTTTTGGTAGCTAAGTATATATATATGGTGAGGGCAATGATTAAAATATTATAAAATAAAGTAAGTATGTAGAGTGGGGAAGACACCTATAACTTCTGTAAAATGAGAGAATGCATAAAAGATTTCACCACCAAAATGTTAAAAAGTATATACCATAAAACCGCCTTAACAAAATTTAAAAGCAAATGATAAATTGGAATTCAATAAAGAACCTTTAAAAACCAGTAAGAAAAACATGACTAATACAACAGATAAATGGACAAAGGGTAGACAGGCAATTATTTCATAAAAAAGGAAATATGTTAAAATGGTATTCAACAGCATTTTAATCTCATGAATTTTCACATTAATACAACAGAATTATCTTCTTAAATTGACAAAGATAAAGTTAATTATCAGTGTTCACTAGAACATGTTGGGTATAGATACATATATATACCTATACTTTGTTGGAAGACACTTTGGTACTATCTATTAGTGGCTTCCAACAATTCATTTTTTTTTTTTCTTTTTGAGAAGGAGTTTTGCTGTTGTCCCCCAGGCTGGAACGCAATGGCACAATCTTGGCTCACTGCCAACCGCTACCTCCCGGGTTCAAGCGATTCTCCTACCTCACCCTCCTGAGTAGCTGGGAATTGCAGGCGCCCACCACCATGCCCATGCCCAGCTAATATTTTTGTACTTTTAGTAGAGATGGGGTTTCACCATGTTGGCCAGGCTGGTATCGAACTCCTGACCTCAGTTGATCCACTCACCTTGGCCTCCCAAAGTGCTGGGATTACAGGCGTGAGCCACTGCGCCCGGCCACCTTCCAACAATTCTACTTCTCTTTGTCCCACCAATTCTACTTTGCTTAGTTATCTTAAAGAAATCATTGTGAAAATATCTGCAACTATAAGGATGTTTAGCATAATACTGCTTTTAACATTTAAAATTTGTAAATAGCCCAAACAGGCCAAAACAGGAAACTAGTTAATTCACTTATGATATATCCACAGGATGGAAAACCAGAAGAAAGTCATTGCAAAGAGTTCATGGACTATTTAGTGACAGGAAAAAACTGTAATTGCAGATTTTTAAAAATTCTTTCAAATAGCTAATATATTTACATGGTTCAAAAATCTAAGCAATATGTGCACACAACTGAGAATTCTCACCATCACCACCTTCTATAAATAACCACTCTCACCAAAAAATAGTAACACTGTTCTACACTGTTTTAAAACTTAATATAATGATAAAATTTTTTGCCATAATAACTTTTCAATTTGGGAGGTTATACAATAGCAACATGGCAAATAAACTGTCTTTTTTTTTTAACTGCAGGATAAAAAAGATCAAAAGTTTATAAACCGAAAACGAGTGAATTATGTTTTAATTTTCTTCTTTGTGACTAATTTTGTTTTTTTTTTTTGAGACGGCATTTCACTCTTGTTGCCCAGGCTGGAGTGCAGTGGCATGATCTCGGCTCATTACAACCTCCACCTCCCGGGTTCAAGCAATTCTCCTGCCTCAGCCTCCCGAGTAGCTGGGATTACAACTGCCCGCCACCACACCTGGCTAATTTTTGTATTTTTAGTAGAGACAGGGTTTTGCCATGTTGGCCAGGCTGGTCTCGCACTCCTGAACTCAAGTGATCCACCTGCCTCAGCCTCCCAAAGTGCTGGGATTACAGGTGTGTGCCACAGTGCCCGGTCATGACTATCTCTATTTTCCAAATTTGAGTACTGAGCATGAAATCCTTTAATCAGTTATTTAAATTAAAAAAATAAAATAAAACTACAAGCTGGTGTTTAAATTATGCTTACCGGCTTCGGGTTTGTTCAAGTCATATATGCGTAACAGTTTATCCTGTCCCCCGGTTAACAAATAATTACTATCCTGAAAACACAAAATGTGAATAGGTTAACCATTTTAATAGTTATTTCTCTTTCAAACTTCAACACCAAATAAAATCAAAATCTAGCTCACAGACATCACAAAGAGATGCAAGACACAACCAATTACTTCTGAGAAGATACTGTGGAACAGCTGCCCTCTCATAACTACCAAGCCTTGTGAGCTTTCCAGTTCAAAAGCGTTACATATACATGAACTCTCCCATTCTCCCCGATCCTATTCCTCTCCCTTGTGAGAGGCCCTTTTTTGATTATCTCAAATTTATCTTCTCACTTCTATTAGTAGGTGAGAAAGGTTACTTGAGCTTTTTCAGATATTTTTTGCTTGTTGAAGGACTGGTACTTGTTCCACGGTATCTTAAAAGCTTGACAGGATTAACCATGAAACAAATTCATAGAGCTTAATATACAATCAAATTAAATATGAACCAAGACATAACAAATATTCCACACAAAACATATCAATCAAATATACACACCAATCAAATATAAAAGCATTGTCACACTATATAATAGCAACTTAACTTGCTAAAATAAATTCAATTTTCTGATACCTGCGTGAAATCCACAGTCTTGACAATGTGTTTATGAGCCAGGGTCATCAATTCATCTCCTGAGACAGCATCCCACACTTTGCTAAAAGTAAAAAAGGAAAAATTAGTAGGATAAATATTACCCAATAAATTAAAAGGATAAATACAATTATAATATTGATGAGTACCAAATAAGTTAGATATGTGAAATGTTACATAAATGTATTATAAATCTCCTTTATCTCTAATATCCCTCACAGACTTCATTTGATAAAATATTTTAAAAAGCTTAAGGGAAAAGAAATTTCTTTGTAAAAACTTTATAACCAATCTAATTTTCTTTGACAGTGGAAAAGATATGAACAATTTAAGTAAGATTCATGAACCAACCCATCCTACTTACTTTTATTTTAGTTGATAGCCATAATATCCCTTTAGCAAGACAGTCATACATTTTAACCAGTTTTTAGTTTCACTATGCCAATTTTTTCTCTATTCTCCACTCAGATGCACAACAACAATAACAAAAAAAAAAAAACCAGAAATCCTTAAAAATTTTACAGGGGAATGAAAAGCCTTAATACAGGTTAAATAAAATTTTAAATTAAGATAGTGGAGAGACAATGTCCACTTCATCTCTTCTTCAAAGCTGACTTAAATTTTCAAACTCTAGGACAGTTAACTTCCCCCAAACTATCAGCCTTTGATTATATAATGCTAACATTGAGAATTTTAATCTTTACATTGTTTTTTCTGTACTACCCCACCCCAAAATACAAGTTGGTTGTAGGTATACATACATATATATGTGTGTATATTCCAAGCGGGTAATAGTTGAACAATACAAAATTACTCTAAAAGGGTTCCCCTAAATAAAAAAGCTTAAGGAAGGGGGACAAAAAGTTGATTTTAGATCAGAACAGGTCAGTGAAAAATAAACAAGAAAACTTTGCAGACAGGGAAAAGAATTGCTAAGAGTGAAGAAGCTATGTTCCACAGAGATTTCCGTTTTAATGCAACTGATACTTATTTTTGGGAACACAGTGGGCAATAAAATGGTAGAGGGAAAAAAATCAGAGAAAAGCAAGGTATATCTTTTCTTTTATCAATAAATACATAATAAAATATTTTAAATATATATCATTCTATACTTAGTGCTAAGGCACAAATGGGAGACAAAAAATACCCCACAGCAGGTTCCTGCCCTAGTAGAGCTTTAGCTAAGGAGAAAAACATGCAGTAAATTACACATGTAAGAAATATAATTAAAAGACATATATATGGCTATAAAAACTCAGAAAAAAAAGCACTTAGATATTGTCCCGAAAATCTATGTAACAGAGCTACTCATCGGAAGAAGCAAAGAGAAATATATCAGGGGAAAAACAAGGGAAGGCTATTCTAGATAAACAATAATAGCATCTGCAATGTGGTTAATAAATATGAAATCATGACCATCTAATAGGAATGCTTATGATACACTACCAAAGCCTGCAATATTTAATAACATGGGTCATACGAGTGGTTGAATAAATATGTTCTGAAAGAAATAATGTCAACTATAAGTAGTCTTGCTACTAAACTCCCTAGTATTCATTTCTCTTTGCCCAGGAAACCTACTCGTCTCTCTGTCATTCCAGTGTAACTCTTTGGCCCCAGTCTACTTTCCCAACCTCATTTTGTATTGTTTCTCTGAATCTAGCCACATTAGATTATAAACTATTCCTCAAATAACTTACATATTTTCTTTCAGGCTCCTATGTTCTTGTTCATATTATTCTCTCAAGTCTGTATTTTACATTCTTAGCTATTAAAGTTCAACTCACCCTTAGGGCTCATTTCAAATGCTATCTTTTCTTTAAACCTATTTATCCTCCACTCCAAAAATTAACCATTCCTTTCTGTTCTCCTACAGAACTCCACTTATACTTATTACTGTGTTTAAATTTGCTTTGTTTTTTGTTTACATATATCCTTAATCACAGGGAAATGCATTTCATGGTTAAGAGTTCACAAGTATTAGAATGACAGAAAGCATCAAAAGTGAAGAAAACAACAAACGTATCTAAAATGACTATTCTAGTTATTCACAAGTCTCAAAAGAAATCTGGGCAATGTCCTTTGATATGCTAATTTCAGGTATATTAAGTAATCTCCCATAAACTTAAAACCTCTCTTTTTTGAGACAAGGTCTTGGTATATAGTCCAAGCTATATTTGAACTCCTGGCCTCAAGATTTTCCACCTCAGCCTCCTAAGTAGCTACAGGCTAATGCCAACATGCCAGCTCTAAAAATCTTAAGATTCTGCTTAGACTGTCTCTATTCAAAGATGAGGAAAGAGTTGGAGTGACCAAAGCAGGAATATTAACCAGAGAGGTAATGTGTCTGTAGTTTTTCCTCCTATTTAGAAACAGTACTAAAATAGACGCATGACACTTTCTGACATGGCATGTACTAACTCTGGCAGATTTCCAATATTCACAGTAAGAGCCCTAAAATGGATCTAATCTAAATGTTTCCTAAGGTATTATTCAATCTCCAGGCAAGAAACTGGCATATATTAGTTAGCCACAGGGCTCAAATCAAGACAGTAAAGCGCTATTAACCATATCCTTTCAGCAGCTAACCCTCCAACATTTATTTTCTTCACATCCCACGAAGTACTTGTCATCTCCTTCAACTACTGATACCTCTTATACCCCATTTTCTTGCAAATAATAATGCTGCCTGATACTTTTCATATCCTCAGAATGAACTTACCATAAGTCTCATAATAGGAGCTGCTTCACTTCCTTATTTAAACCTTCAACAAAACAGGCCAGTTTAAGATTTTTTTAAAAACTGCCTAAATACCTGAACATGTTGACCAAGTCATCTAGGAGATAATACCATTTTTGATTTATCAAGAACCTTATTAAAACTAAAATTAGGTATTTCTATTGGCTTTACAAGAAAGAAAGAGTGATACATTTTCATTACCTATAAATTCCTGGGCCCAGTCCCAGATCTACTTAAGCACTCTTGGGAGCACAGCACAGAATTGTCTTTAGTTTGGCACTCTTCCCAAACAGATACAAAGAGGATGGTGTTGTAGGGACACTGTACTCAACACTGGACTCAACTGCCCAAATTACTCCAAGATAACATTCTACACTAGTCCACAGACCTATTCTGCCAAATTTCTCCACTAGAAACAGGACCAAAATCCACTTCTAGATGACCACACCAGAAATGAGTTTTCCAAGAAACGTAAGAATGGAGGGAAAAAAAAGATGTTTCTAAAAATGCTTTATACCAACTATGACTAATCAGGTAGGCTGTGGGGAGTAACTTCTTGGAGAGAACACACACACACACACACACACACACACACACGAAAACACGCTCCTACACCCCATAGACAAGACATAGAGGAAATGAGGGATAAATCTCAAGTAGCATTTATTGAGCACCTACTATGTGACAGAGATCATATTGGACTTCAGGGATATATGGTAGAGAAAGAGCTCTCTGTTCCTCCAATAATCTCATGGGTCTTAGTCCCATTTTACAGACACGAAAACTGACGTTTAAGAAACATCCTGCCATGGTGGGCAGATCGCTTGAGCCCAAGAGTTCAAGACCAACCTGGACAACATGGAGAAACCCGTCTCTACAAAAAACACAAAGATTAGCCAAGCACGGTAGTACACGCCTGTGGTCACTACTCAGGAAGCTGAGGTTGGAGAACTGCTTGAGACTGGGAGGTAGAGGCTGCAGTGAGCTATGATCACGCCACTGCACTCTAGCCTAGGCACCTAAGACCCTGATTCAAAAAAAATAATAATAATAACCCTATGATGATCAAACTGGAAATACACAACATAGTTTGCACATGAATGCAAGCCCACCTAGTGCCAATGCTTGTTACTATTTTCCACTCTAACACAGCACCTAAAGCCTTAACTGAGGGGGGGAAAAAAATCACAAAAATCTTCCTTCTTGACATTTAAATCCATTCAACCTTCCTTACATGAGGCCAAATGGTTTCAAGGCTTTAGCCATATTAGTTTCAAAATAATATGTGATTTTGATCAAGTGCGGGTGGTAACAGTTTACATGGTAGCTATCATCGTTACTTTACATATGTAACACTTTCATAGATGTAATGGACTTCAGGCAATATTCTAAGTATTTGAAACATATTAACTTATTTAATATTCAAAACCAACCTATGAGGTAGGTACCACGACAGAAAAGAAATGGTTAAATAAAGTGCATGAGGCCACTAATTCAAATACAAGTCATCTGGCTCCAGTCTTCATGCTCTTAACACCAGTTGTAAACACAAGACATTGAGACTTGAAATGTTAAAAAAGCATAAAGACAACACTGTTTCAACAAGCAAGAGCATACAGTCACGTATCCGCCACCACAATCAATCAGCCTTCATTTTCTCATTCTAAAATTGGTATGTTTAATTTACTTAAAAGGAAGGAGGCAGCACATTTACAATTCCTCCTTAGTGTGAGGTTGTTTAAAAAAAAAAAAAAAAATCAAAGGCCAGCCACAGTGGCTCACACCTGTAATCCCAGCACTTTGGGAGGCCAAGATCACTTGAGGTCAGGAGTTCGAGACCAGCCTGGCCAACATGGCAAAACCCCATCTCTACTAAAAACACAAAAATTAGCCGGGCATGGTGGCGCGCACCTGTAGTCCCAGCCTCTCAGGAAGCTGAGGTGGGAGAATCACTTGAACCTCAGAGGTGGAGGTTGCAGTGAGCCGAAATTGTGCCACTGCACTCCAGCCTGGGCGACAGAGCAAGACTCTGTCTTTAAAAAAAAAAAAATCAACACCACTTGTACTCTCTAGCCTCTTAAATCTAATAAATTTGTGTATGCACAATAGCTCTTGATATTGCCTTCATCAGTTTAAACAATGAAGTGTCAAATTCCTAAGTTACAAATACCAAGTAGGAACTGGAGATAACAAGATTTTTAATACATGATATATTCCCAAAAAGGCAACGAGGGCCACTGTAGGTCAATTTAATAACATAATTAACAGCCAAAAGTCAGAACAGGTAAAGTATATTCTGACAACAATAAGATTAGTATAATTAGATTGTAGGTTTATGGTGTGCAATGGGAGAGGATGATGTTGATGAACTAGGATGAAGCAAACTGTAAAGGGCCAACAATTGAAATGTGTCCTTTAGGTCAGCAGTTCTACGACTGCATATCAGGAAAGAAAAGGAGGGAAGAAAAATAAAAAAACGCCAATAATCAGCATGATCAGTACTCCATCCCCAAAGACCAATCAAACCAGAATTTCTGTACCAGGCACAATAGTTCACCCCCACAACCCCAGCTCTTTGAGAGGCTGACGCATGGAGGCCAACAGTTTAAGACAGCCTGGGCAACATAGCTAGATACTGTCTATATACTAAAAAGTATTTTAAAAATTTTTCAATGTAGTAAAAAGTGTAAATATATATATGCATAGAGAGAGTAAAAAAGTAAAAAAAAAAGTTTTAAAAATCCAAATTTCTGGGACACATACCATTTGAATATTTGAAAAGTTCTCCAGATATTCTAATGTATATCAAAGGTCATGAACTACTAAAATGGCAAAGGGAAGACAGCAAGATCATTAGGTAGAGAAGTGACATGATCAAATACATTTTTAGGAAGACAACTGGCAGCAATATGGAGTATGAATAGGAGGAAAAGAAACTACTGAAAGTTAAAAATGATCCTCAACTAAAGCAGTGGCAGTTACTACATGGAGGAACATTGTAGTCAGGAGACATCCTGCTGGCACAATCAAAACAGATGATGATAATCTCGATGTAAGGGAAAATCAAGAATGCTTTAGATTTCAACCTTTAAAAGGAAATGAAGAGCAGTTGAGTTTTGCTTTGTTGTTGTTTTGTCTTTTTGTTTGTTTTTGACACAATGAGTTTTAGTGATGCCTACAGCCAGTTAACAAAAACTGGGATTGAAATAAAAACCTAGGGTCATCACTGTAGGTTATCACTAAGGAGTACACACAGAGCAGCATTCGTAAAGGAGATCAACATTCATTATCTGGAGCGTTTGTTAATGCAGATTCCTGAGTCTCAATCAAAATATAAGGAGTAAGTCATTTAGGCCTCTAAAATTTTGAGAACCACTGAAGACAAAAGAAGCACACAGGACCACGATGGACCAGGATGGAATTTTGGTGAGATCAAACATCATGCGTTCTATATGGCAGCCAGCGAGTCAGAATTTTATGAATATCTGAGACTGAAGTTTTTGATTATTTCAGGACACAATCTACAGAGAACACCAAAGTTAGCCATCTTGGCTACACTTACGCTGTGAAATCTGCAGCTGCTGTAGCTGCTTTGGTGGCATCCTTATTCAGTGTTGCACCCCAAACAGCACCTTTATGACCCAAAAATGTTCCAATCCAGTCTCCTGTATCTCCCTGGCGTAGCATAGGTTTACCATCTAGAAAATATTTTTTAAAACATGTAATTTATAAGTTCGGATTAAAGTCTAAGATTCAAATGTAAATATACAATGATGTTCAATGACGAAGAGGAAAAATTGTTTCAGCTATTTAACTATCACCACCGATTGAAGTCACTAAGGAATGTCCAGTAATAATTAACTGAAGAGCTGAACAGATCATTTTCCCTGAAAAGCATCTGTAATTTGCTGGGAATACTGATCTGCGTCGAAATAACTTAGACTTTAGTCTTATTTTGGACAAACATTGTAGCCTAAATCTGTTTCCCATTTGAAAAATGAGGCTAATACCACAAAGGAATACCCAGTGAGACAAGAGCGAACATCTTTGTAAGGTATTGCACGGCCTGGCCTAATTTCTCCTTTCCCCAAATCCTTGACAGCTATTTACAGTGTTGTCCCGAGAGTCTAGGCAAGTGCTGTCCAGCTCCTTCAAAAATAGCAATAAAAATAAAATAAGGAGAGAGATCTTAGTTGGGGGTAATAGTTTCTACATAAGCGTCCGGAGGCCTCTCGGCTCCAGCTGCGGATTCCCTAACACACTCCTTTCTCCACCGGACCAGTGTTGGCCCTCATCTCAGATGTTAATATCGCCCCCTCCCCGCTCACCACACCACAGCTCAGCACTGGAGAGTGCGGGTCCCAATCCCTTTCGGCCCAGTCCCAGCCATCGGGGACCAGGATTGAGGCCTTGCTCACCTTTGCAAGCGCTGATTAAGAAATACCCATAAGGCGTGATGCCACTGAAGGCCAAATCAACCACGGGACGCGTGTGGCCAGAGCAGGTGAGCGGCGTCTGTCTCATTGCCATGGCGGCGGCGAACCCAGCGACCGGACTGGCGAGCTGAGGGTCGTCGTTGTCTTTTCTCTCTTCTGCTGCAGCGCCTCGGGCTCCTCCAGGCCCCCGCCCTGATACTAGGGCTGGGCTGGGCAACAGGAAAAGAAGGGCAATCCGGTGGCACCGAGGTTAGGAAGGGGTGAGGGAGGGGTCAGGGAGTCTGCTACCAGCAAGCAACAGTCGATGAGGGAGGGAAAGGGAGGGAGGGAGGAAAGTAGGGGATGGGGAGAAGCAGAGCACCGGCCCAGCCACGATTCACACCGTCCACACCGGTATCGGCAGGAAGTGACGACGTAAATGACGCAGAGCACCCGCCGGAAATGACGGTTGGCTGGCGGGAGGGCGGGTTGGTTGGGCTTAGTGGCTTTGAGGAAGGGGGGGGAGTGGCGGAAGGCGGCGGGGGCCGTTTCGTTGCCTTGGGTTACTTACGGTTGGCGGCGTCGGGTTAAGGGGGGGGTTTTGGGCCCGGGGTTGGGTTCCTTGGCCTGGGGTTTTGGGGGTTCGGACGGCTTTCCGGTTCGGGGGCGGGTTTGAAGGCCTTTCCCCTTCCGTTAAGCCCAGGGGCCAGGGGCAGCAGTGTACCCGCCGAGCAGCCCTACTGAGGACTGTGCTCGGCCTCTGAATATCTAGACGGACACAAGCCATTCCCAGTGACGGCCCAAACCTGCGAACACTGTCTAGCAACGTTTTTTTGCAATTTGTCTTACTTAAAAACCATATACGGGCTTGGCGTGGTGGTGCCTGTGGTCCCACCTACTTGGAAGGCTGAGGTGGGAGGATACTGGAGCCCGAGAAGTCGAGGCCACAGTAAGCGGTGGTCGCGCCACTGCACTCCAGCCTGGACGACAGAGCGAGACCCTGTCTTAAAACAAAAAAACAAAAACCAAAAAAAATTCCGCAGCCTTCTCTTCTGCTGTGTAAGTTTTCCTATGTTGCTAATGTTTTAGGCGTGGATACTATATAGTTTTAAATGCGATTAAATTCAAATTACTTTTTCCTTGGTGGACTTTGGAGAACTCTAGAGTTGTAGATCCCCAATATTTTTGATTAAATACCCTCATCAATAAAGTGAGCGTGCACTGATTTTTTAAGCGAATGAATGCTGAATTCTATCAAAAACTTTTACACATCTTTTGATATGTATACATATGAGTGATAATTTGCAAATTACATACATGGACAAATTAAAAGAATATTTAAATATAAACAAACTGTGATATTGTCTGCCCCCAGGCAGCCCAGTGTGGCTCTGTGAAACAACCAGAGCTGTTAATTGTTCATACTGTTTACTGACCAGGAGAGGCCTTTTCTCTGGGCAAGTTGTTTGTGTATTGCTCGAATGTAAGCCCGATACAACAGAGATTTTTGTGTTTACTACTTCATCCCCAAGATCAAAACATCTTGGCACATACCAATAAATATGTAATCAACATAAATGTCTGTGAATGTTTTCTTCATCTTTTTGCAGCAAACACCGTCTACAAGATTTGCGTCAAACAACGTGAGAACTTGAAATATGTCTCCATTCTTTTTCCTTAGTACTCTCGTTCATTCACTTACAGTAAAGCACTTACTATATACGTTTTCATTTTGTTTTGTTTGACTCCTCCTTTGTGTCAGCCTCTCCCTTTTGTCTCACACATACACACCACTCACACATTTATGAGCTCTTTAATGGCAATGGTCATGGCTTTGTCATTTGTACTCTAGTGCCAGAAAAGTGAATGACATTTAGTGAATGCTCAGCATTACTGTTTACTGATTAAATAGATTGTTGCATTACTGATGGAGGTAAATAAAAGAGCCAGTCAAAACGACACAACTGGTCAGATACTGATACATGTTCATTTATTGCTGATTGTGTGTAGATAAAAATATAACTGGTAAGTTATGGTACCTACTTGGCTCTAAAGAATGTATTCCTGCTCATTTGGATTCTGAGTTCTGAAAGTATTGTGTATTATGACCAATTGTGTAGGCTTCAAGGTCAATTTAATATTAGAAGACAGGTTAATGTAATTGATAAAATTCACAATATTAAAAGATTAAAGAAGAAAATCATATCAAAGGATGTGTAAAAAGTTTTTGATAGAATTCAGCATCCTTTCACTTACAAGAACTCTTAGACACTAAAAATAGAAGGGAGTTTTTTAACCTGACAATCTGAAACCCCACACCTAATGGTGAAACACAGAAAGCATTCTGTATTAGGTACAAGACAGATGATTGCTACTGCCTGTTCTATACAGCATTGCACTCGATGTTCAGGAAACTTAAAAATGCATAAATGTTCCAAAGAAAGTTGTAAATCTGTGATTAGAAATTGTTTTAGAGGTTATATATAAAGAAAAGAGGCAAGGTGCAGTGGCTCATGCCTGTAATTCCAGTTCGCAGTACTTTGGGAGGCTGAGTTGGGAGGATCACTCCAGTCTAGGAATTCAAGACCCACCTGGGCAACAGAATGAGACCCAGACTCCACAAAAAAATTAAATTAGCCTAGCATGGTGGTACACACCTGTGATCCCAGCTACACGGGACACTGAGGCAGGAGGATCACTTGAGCACAGAAGTTTGTGGCTGCAATAAGCCCTATTTCTGCTACTGCACTTCAGCCTGGACGATGAGGTAAGAACGTGTCTCAAAAGAAAAAAAAACTAATACAAATTACTGGAATTAATGAGAGAATTTAGAAAGGTTACTGGAGTTGGTTTTTTCTTTTTTTTAAAAGAGATAAGGTCTCACTATGTTACCCAGGCTAGAGTGCAATGGCTACATTACTGGGTTTTTTTTTTTTTTTTGGTGTGTGTGTGTGTGTGTAATGAAGACATCACATTTCTATATGTTAGCAACAACAGAAAATGTAATTTTAAAGTATACCATATTAAATGGCATCAAGAGTTATAAAGTACATTGGAATAAACAAAGTGTACTCCCCAGCAAAAGACAACTGGCACACTGAAATATAGAAGTTGAGGGCAACGTAATGAAGGGATCAGTTACAGAAGTGTGGCCAGGATCAAAAGTAACCAACAAGAAGAAAATGGGGCACTAACCGTAGATCTGAACGAGAAACTGAAAGGGAGCAGTTATCTGAAGCTGATTTCATTGAGAAAGGTATGGCTGCAGCAGAAGGCTCTGGGCGAGAGGTGGAATAATCAGTAGAGGAACACAACTGCTCCCAATTATCATCAGCCCAGCCATGGGGAAGAAGTGGGGAAATGGATATCTACTTTTAGATCTTCTGCCCATGCTTCCCATTGGTCAAACCCAGTCAGAGCCCAGAAGACAAGGGAGCCCTTTAATGGGGTCCATAAATGTCAACCTTCTAGGACTTAAAACATAGTACGAAAGGGAGAAAAGGGGATCTCATTAAATAAAGGGATACCCAACATGATGTTCAATATTATTTAATGCCTCTCAGCAAAATGTATCACTGTCTATTAAAGGCGTTAAATAATATTAAATGGAAAATGGATATATTGTATTCGTGGGTTGGCAGGTTCAATTTTGGGAAAATATCAGTGCTCCCCTGTTATGGGCTGAATTGGGTTTCCCTCCTCCAAATTCCTATGTTAAATAATGTCCTAATCCTCTCTATCTCAGAATGTGACCGTATTTGGATAAGGAAGGTAAAATTAGGTCATATTGAGAGGTGATAACGTGCTAGCAGCCCTCACTCTCGGTGCCTCCTCGGCCTCAGCGTCCACTCTGGCAGCACTTGAGGAGCCCTTCATCCTGCCACTGCACTGTGGGAGCCCCTCTCTAGGCTGGCCCAGGCTGGAACCCGCTCCCTCTGCTTGTGGGAAGGTGTGGAGGGAGAGGCCCAGGCAGGAACCGGGGCTGCACGCTGTGCTCACGGGCCAGCACAAGTTCCAGGGGCTGCAGTCTTGGCCGGCCCGCACTCGGAGCAGCGCGCCAGTGCCCCCGGCCCAGGGCAGTGAGGGGCTTAGCACCCGGGCCAGTAGCTGTGGAGAGTGCACTGGGTCCCCCAGCACTGCCGGCTTGCCTGCACCATGCTCTGAAACTCACTGGGGCTCAGCTGCCTCCCCACAGGGTGGGGCTCGGGACCTGCAGCCCTCCATGCCCGAGCCCCCCAGGGTGGGCTCCCGCACAGCCTGAGCCTCACCAGGTGCCGCCCCCTGCTCCATGGCACCCGGTCCCATCGACCGCCCAAGGGCTGAGGAGTGTAGGGGCACAGCACAGGACTGGCGGGTAACTCTGCCTGCGGCCCTGGTACAGGATCCACTATGTGAAGCCAACTGGGCTTCTGAGTCTAGTGGGGACTTGGAGAACCTTTATGTCTAACTAGGGGATTGTAAATACACCAATGAGCACCCTGTGTCTAGCTCAAGGTTTATAAATACACCAATCAGTACTCGGTATCTAGCTAATCTAGTGGGAGCTTGGAGAATTTTTCTAACACTCTGTGTCTTGCTAAAGGATTGTAAACGCTCCAATCAGCACTATGTCTAGCTCAGGGATTGTAAATGCCAACATCAGCAACCTGTGTATAGCTCAAGGTTTGTAAATACACCAATCAGTACTCCTGTATCTAGCTAATCTAGTGGGGACTTGGAGAACTTTTCTGTCTAGCACTTTGTGTCTAGCTAGAGGATTGTAAACACACCAATCAGCACTCTGTATCTAGCTCAGGGATTGTAAACACACCAATCAGCACTCTGTCAAAACAGACCAATCAGCTGTCTGTAAAATGGACCAATCAGCTCTCTGTAAAATAGACCAATCAACTCTCTGGAAAATGGACCAATCAGCAGAATGTGGGTGGGGTCAGATAAGGGAATAAAAGCAGGCTGCCTGAGCCAGCTGTGGCAACCTGCTAGTGTCCCTTTCCACATTGTGGATGGTTTGTTCTTTTGCTGTTTACAATAAATCTTGCTGCTCCTCACTCTTCTGGGTCCATGCCCCCTTTATGAACTGTAACACTCACTGCGAAGGTCTGCAGCTTCACTCCTGTAGCCAGCGAGACCACAAAGCCACCGGGAAGAAGAAACAACTCCAGATGCGCCACCTTTAAGAACTGTAACATTCACTGCAAAGGTCTGCAGCTTCACTCTTGAAGTCAGCGAGACCACGAACCCACCAAAAGGAAGAAACTGCGGACACATCTGAACATCTGAAGGAATAAACTCCGGACACACCATCTTTAAGAACTGTAACACTCACCATGAGGGTCTGGGGCTTCATTCTTGAAGGCAGCAAACCAAGAACCCACCAATTCCAGACACAATATGGGTGGACCCTAATCCAGTGCAACAGTTGTCTTTATTGAGAAGAG